TATGTGAGAGGAGGTCTTGGTAAGTTGCTAAATCACCCAAGCTGAGCTTGAACCTGTGATCCTCTGCCTCAGCCTCCCAGAGTGCCAGGATTACAGGGGTGTACCACTGCATCTAGTTTACAATTATTTTTCTAAGTGTATGTCTGTTTGTCCTCCCTCTTAGCTTAGCTTTTAATTTTCCTCCCTCTTCTTTTCAATCCATGATTTAATACACAATTTGAGCCAGGGCTGGTGATACACATCTATAATCCTAACACCCAGGAAGCTGAGGCAGGAGAATCATCATGAGTTCAAGGCCAGTCTGAACTGCATAGTGAGAACTTGTCTAAAAAAAATCCAAAAAAGAAAAAACAGAACCACAGTTTACACATGGCAAGCCTGTTTGTTGGAGATTGGCTATGTGTATTTTGCTTAGAAGAAAGGCTGCATCAATTACAGAGAGCCTCATAATTGTGAGAACCAAGGAGTCCTTAAAGGGTGGTTATGGGAAAACTATGTCTGGGTAGAAAGGATCTATCTGATATCCATAGTCACTTTTTTTGGCATCAATTTTAGAAGTAATCTGAACAATAACATTCCCAGGATAATAGAAAAGACTTAATGGGCTCAAGTAGCAGTAAAGTTCAATGTTCTTATTCATAAAAAGTTAAATATAGATACATATTTGAGCTGTATCTCATTTTTCAGTTTGTTTTCTTTGTACTTTAATTCTTAATAGCTGTAAAGTTCAGCAGTGTGATAATGTACTTTTGTCTTCCCAGAAACAACAATAATTGCAATAATGGGATTTTTATTTGAATGGAGAAATATAATTGTATAACCTGATAGATTAATTCTGTAAAAATTGTTATTCAATTTTTACAGAAAAAGTGTTATTCAGCTTTTAAAAAAGAACAGTGTTGGGCTGGAGATTTGGCTCCTTGGTTCCGCTGCCTGCCTTGCAAGCACAAGGGGCCAAGTTCAATCTCCAGTAAACCACAAAACAAAACAAAACAGTGCTGGAAGTGTGATGCAGATGAAGGGAGGACAGGGTATGGCGAAAAAATAAGAACCAAGACATATCACGTAAAGATACAAGCTCTCAATGATGAATGTAACTGTATTAACTATAATGTTTGCTTTAAACGTACGAATAAGCTTAATGAGGGTGGGGTGGGGGAGAACAGTACTATGTTCTGAATATTTGTGTTTTCCCCTATTTCAAATTGCTATATTGAATCCTAAACTCTGAAATTTGGTAGTTAGGTCACGAAGGTGGAGATCTCCTGAATAGAGTTAGTATTCTCATAAGAAGAGACAGGCAAGACTATCTGTCTCCCTCTATCCCTTTCCCATGTGAGACTACAGTGAGAAAATATCCATTTGCAAACCAGGAAGTAGCTCCATCAGACAATGGACTCATCAGCACCTTGAACTTTGACTCTTCAACCTCCCAAACTGTGAGAAACTAATGTTTATTGTTTAAGCTACCCCAGTCTACATGGTATTCTGTTAGAATTGCCTAAACTGCTTAACACAAACAACATATTTGATTCTTATTTGTAATTAATTTTATTCTAATATCTTTACTTAATGATGTCACTGAAAACAAAACTCTTCAAAGCAGCTTTTCAATCCTTTCCTGGAGGGATGCACAGACCTCTGAGCACGGTCATTAACCACTATTATAATATAATTCTAATTCTATGACTTCCTAGCTGCATGGCAGAGAACAACTTATTTAAATTGTCTAGACTTATTTCCTTATCTGTCAAACCAATATGAAATTTAAGTTTCCCCATTTGTTTCTATGAGGGTGTAGAATTAAATGAGATGGTACATTCATGACCTAGTATACAACAAGCCCTCATTAAGCAGTCACTGTTGTCCAGTAATGAAGTGATGGTTGCTACTGTTGAAGGAAGGTAGCAATTCTCTCTAACACCAAGACTCAGATCTTTGCACACCATGCTTACTACTTAATATGCCTAATAAGTATTTATTAGTGAAATAAAATAATAAAATAAATGCAATTATTTTTATTCTCCTAATACCAGGTTTTCAGCCATTCAGATGATTAAAACAATCTTTTTAATCAATGCACTTTACATTTTAAAAGTGTCTTGGGGTTTACAGAAAAACTGAGCAAAATATACAGTTTCCATATACTTTCCTGCCCACCACACCATCCTACGCACCCAAGATGTTTAGTTTTTCCCTGTTATTAACATCTTAAATCAGTTTGACCTATAATTGATGAGCCACTGATGATACAGTTTCATTAACTAAGTCTATTCTTTACATTAGGGTTCATTCTTAGTATTGTATACTCTGAATTTTGACAAAGACATAATATCGTATATCCACCATCATAGTATTGTACAGAATTGTCTCACAGCTGTAAAATTCTCCCTGTATTCCATCTCTTCAACTCTCTCTTCTACCCTCCTAACTCTTGACAGCTTCTAGTCCCTTTACTTCCTCCCTAGTTCTGCATTTCTGCATTTTCCTAGAATGACACATAGTGGACCCACACATGTAGTCAGTACCCTTTTCTGACTGGCTTCTTTCATGTGCACAATAAGCATTTTAGGTTCCTTCTATCCCTCATACAAAGGTTTCAGGTTCCTTCTATTCAAACAAGAAAATATTTTGACTTGGGAATAGTGTCATTATAACTTAGGAATTATTCATTTGACTAATATTCCTTCACATAGCAGATGTCTGCTCATTTGTGAATGACAGCATTTCTTTGAAAATTTTCTTTGAAAAATTTCTTTTCAGCCTGATCATTTATTGATCTAAATGAAATCATTGCACTCAAAAGGAATTTTTGCATCTTAAGGAGGCATTAAAAACTACAATTAAAATGCTTGGTGATGAAGTGCTAGTTGGTAATATATTGCAATTGGAAATAAAATGCAAGAATATATATACACCTTTTTTGTTCTAAGATTAAGAAAGCCATCCTTTCCCAGTAGGAGCTTCTGTTGTCCCACAAGACTACAAAAGATGCATCAGATTCTCCTAAATTTGATATGGATCAATCTGGCTGGAAATTTTTTTTTTAATTCACAGTTTAATTGCTGTGGGACAACCTTACTGTCAACCTACTCTTAGTCTCTGCTCTAAGGTTAAGGTAATAAAAATTATTCATTATAAATTCTAAAACTCCCTTTTTATTCATCTTTCTCCCTGAATCAGTCTCTGAGGGATACTCTTTCTTCAGCTCCAAGGAGATGGAAACAGCACAGGTACAGCTGTCTTCATGTTTTCCCAGGAGTACAGGCCCAGGCTACCAGGCGTCTTCCCGCATAACTTCATGTTCATCCCTGTTCCACCAGATACTCTGAGGTACAGTTTTTTCTGTACTACTTCAGCCTTCTCTTAGCTTCTTGAAGTTCACACTTTTCAAGCACTTATAATAGTATGTCTCCCCTCTTGTCTTAATTTAGAAAATGCACAAGTGTATTAATTTGACTCTTGGAGTACTTTCTTTAAAGCCAACTTCCTGGACCCTCGAACTTTTCACAGAGCTTTTTGGGGGAGAGGAAGGACAAAAGAGAAAGCTCTTCACTGAGCCACTGAGACTGGGTGATTCAGTTTCTCCACAAGAGCTATCATTTCCCTCTTCCTATTTCTGTTACTAATTGGTAGGGCAGCTCCTGACCTTGGAGAGTGGTACTACTGGGACATCCATTTCTGAGCACACAAGCTGACTCTTGTGCAGGGTGAGAGTACAGAGATGAGTCAAAATAGGGTTAGGAGTACCAAGAAGGGGATGGCTCAAAATTGGGTTGCACCCCTGGGCCAGGGATTTAGCTCAGTGGTTCCACCACCTGCCTTGCATGCACAAGGACCTCAGTTCAATCCCTGGTACCAATAATAAATAAATACATAAATAAATAAAGGTTATCTTAGACATTTTTTTAAAAAATGGGCCCTACTGCCTACCTATGTCTCATTCACATCCACAAAACAGCATCAGAGCCCATGAAACCACATCAACTCTCTCCAACACTGAGTGTCCTTTGGGGGCAAAAGACTAGACTAAGAGCCAAAAATAAGAAGAATAAACAGGGCCAGGGATTTAGTTCAGTGGTGCCCCACCCACCTCACAAGCACAAATTCTAGAGTTAGATCCCTGTACCAGGAAGAGGAAGAGGAAGAAGAAGACTCTGGGCCTTGAAAAGATTTGCAGTTTCTCATTCTATGCTAGATATTATATATTGATATTTATGCCTCACATCAGTTTCTAAATTAATATTTGCAATATAGAAAACGTCTAACGTAGTCAACTTTGCTGAAATTTGCAATCAGTTGTTTGAAATGGGAGGAAAGCAGAAAGCAACTTGCAAATTCTGTGCATAATAAAGTAAGGAATGAACCAGCTCACATAATAAAGACAATTATACAACATTTACATGATTCTTTTTTCTTACAACATAAAACAAGACATAGGGAGCTAATTAGTATTCTGCCTTTGCTATGAGAACTGCTCTCCACTATTTCAGAATATTTTCAAGGCCAAGGGCAGGACACACTGTTTTGCTGAAGTTTGTTATATGATCCTACGGACTTCCAGGCAGCCAAAATTACCCTATCAAATCCTACCTGATATAGATGACTTCTGTTTCTGTGGGTGTCACAGAGATAAATCCCTCAGCTGATAGACCCATGCCCAGAGGAAGACCCAGATTCAAGCTCTCGTCTCTGAGCTCTAGCAGAACACAACATGCTAAAAAAAAATTCTTACTCATCTTCAAAACAGTTACTGAGCTTCTACTATGGCCCCTCCTGTGTACTAGATGCTAGAAGTAAAAATCCTTCTACCCTTCAGGCATTCACTGCTCATAGAAGATATGATAAAAATAACATTTATGGTGATCATTCTGTGTGTGGATATAGAGAAGAAGGCTACTTCTGACAGAGAGAAGAAGGAAGGATTTGAGAAGAGCTCCACAGAGGGAGGGGGGCAATACCTAAGATGAGGCTGGAAGGAAATAAAGGAGTTGGCCAAGAAGCCAGAGGAGGGTGGTCCTTCCAGAGAAAACAGCCTCAAGTGGAAAGATGTAAAGTTCTCAAATGGATGCATATTGAGGATATACTCTTAAGTGAAATAAATAAGTCACCCATGTGTAAATACCAAATAGTTTCTCTGGTGTGAAAAACTATAATAGTACACAAGATCCTAATGGGATAATTAACAATGTGAAATTGGAAGAAAAGGGATAAAGGTGTAGGGAAAGTGGGAAGGGTAGGGGAAAGGGAATAAGGGAAAAGAAAAAAATATGAGAAAATGAAAAAATGGAAATAAAGTGTTTGTAAATAGGGAGGAGAGGAGGGGGTGAAGGGAGGGCAGGGACGAGGGGAAAAAAATGAGAACTAAGACCTGTCATGTAAAGGTACAAGACCCCAGTAATGAATGTAACTGTATTGCATACCTAGAATGTACCAATAAACTCAATAAAAAGGAAAAAAAAAAAGAAAGATGTAAAGTTCTGAGAAAGCTCCCAGTGTTTCAGAAACTGTAAGTGGTTTCCTGTAGAGTACAAAGGTGTAGAGAGAGGAAAATCTTCAGAAGTAACACTAGAGAGGTCAATAAGGCCAGCTCTGAAGAGTCTAGAACCCAAAACACTATTCTCAGAGTCAGTAAAGGCTTTAATCAGGGAGACAACAATACAGTTTTTTGTATTGTGGTCTGTTCATAGGTGAAAGCAGCATGCATGCAGATAAAGAGGGATTTGCCCAGGCTCAATGTGTCATGGGAAGAAAAAAATTTTTTAACTAGGCTGTGTCCTGAGAACACACTCAAGCTAATTGTACTAGGTTAGAAGAACAGCCTGTAAAATGATGATGATAATAAACATTTAAGGTACCTAACGTATACCAGGCACAATGCTGGAGATGATAAGAAGAGAGATATCTGTAAGAAATTTTTAAATTGATTTGGATAAGCTGGTATCAGCTCAAGAAGCTGTCAAAGAGAGCCATTTATAGGCTGGCTTCCAAGATCCAAATCCGAGCTCTGCCAATTATTACGTGTGTAACTGGGCAGGTCATGTGCTTCCATGAGAGATTTGGACCTACTGACTATTATGGAAGATTAAATGAGTCATGTTGTGTGAAGACCTTAACATAGCTACTGGAACACAGCTAAGTGGTTTGTACAAGGTGTGATCAAAAGTTGTGCTGTTGTGGCTGCCTTGATGTCCTGAATCCATTCAAAGCATTTACCTTTAGTAGTCATTTTGACTTTGGGGAAGAGCCAGAAGTCACAAGGTGCCAAATCTGGTGAGTAAGGTAAATAAGGACACACTGTAGTATTTTTCTGAGCCTGCCTTGCCATTTAAGGGTACTCAGCAGCAGCAGTCACTGAATTTTTATAACACCTCATAAAGACTCTCACAAAAGAGAATTTCAGAACTGCTTCAGAATGTGACAAGAATATTGGGGTAAATGTGTTGAAAGTGAGGGGGGTAGATATTTGGGAGGGAAGTTAATGGCAATGTGTCATTTACTGTATAAAAACATTTCACCTAAACATTCACTATACATTTTGATCACACTTTAGAAATTTTGTTTCTCATGATCTGAACTATAGGAAAGTACAGAGAGAGAAGCTATGGCCTCAAAAAAGATAAAAATAAGAAGAGGCATAAGGTGGGGCACAGGGTGATATCCAAATGAATCTTGCTGCTTGGTGTTGGGTAATGAGGCAGATGGTGAACACAGGAGGAGATGATAAGATTTATTTGGGAAATATTGAAAGTGGAGAGTATGGATAACATTCAGGTAGATATATCAAATCTGTGGCTCACAAAGGAATGCAACTTTCTCACTCCAATGTAATAAGCATGTATGGAGACCCATCTGGAAAGTGTTAGAAAGCTGGAATTTTCAGCAAGCAGTTAAATCTATGCTCTGAATGGTCTAAGCAGAAAAAGGTGAGAGTAAAGAAGAACCAAGAATGTACCCTAGAGAAAACTTAGATTGAAGGGGTGGCTAGATCAAGAGATCATTACTGGAGAGAATGAGCTGGGATAGTGTAAGAGTAAAAAGAAAAATCAAGAAAAATGGTGCCATGAGTCCCAGAAAGATGAACAGAAAAGGACAATGCTACACAGAAATGCCATAATATAAGGATTAAGAAATGATACTCACTGAATTTAGCAACATGAAGGCTTTTGATGACATTACCAGTCAGGATTCAGTTAATAACAAGTAACAGGGCCCAATAGTTATTTGAATAAAGTATTCAATATAAAGAATTGGGTAAACAGGGCTTGGATAACAGAAAGCAAAAGAGAACATTAAGAAAGCTCTGGGATTGTAACCTCAAGAAGCAGCTAGCTTCCCTAGAGTCAGAGGAGTAAAGGGAAGAGGTTGGAATCATCTGGACCCTTACCTCAGAAGAGTGGCCCTCGTAGAACTGAGTTCCAGCCTCTGAGGATGGAACCTGCCAAAATGGTTCTGAATGGTTTTCAAACTTTCAGAGCTCAAAGAAGAGGCTCAGGGAGTTGGTAATTAAGGAAAGGGGTCCTGCTCAATCAGTAGCTGGTGCCTTGGAAGTGGGGTCCAGAAGAGCAGGGGCTGGTACTTCTGGGGAGGAAGGCATGAGGGTAGTTCTGGGCTTGCTAGTAGAATCAGAAGATTCATGGCTGAATGGAAAATTCTTACAGGATCATGTTAACATGAACAGTAGACAAACAGGAAATGGCTACCCCTTCTCATCTCCACCTGCTTTTACAGTCTCCCTCAAGTGACGCCTATGAGCAAAACTCAGTAGAAAACATGGAGATCGGGAGGGTAGGAGGGGGTGAAGAGAGGGCAGGGACAAGGGGAAAAGATGAGAACCAAGACCTGTCATGTAAAGGTACAAGATCCCAATGATGAATGTAACTGTACTGTATGCCTAAAATGTAGCAATAAACTCAATGAGAGGGGATGGGGAGAGAAAACAATGGAGAAATATGACATGTAGACTCCTGGCCCTAGGATCCCAGAGCAGAGTCTACAAAGGTAGAGAGTGGAACATGGCCTATATAATCAGCACAGTGATCCTTGACAGTTTTAATGCTTTGGAAGAAAGCCACCTAGTAGTGAGTTGAGAATAAGAAATGAAGATAGCAAATAGATACCATTTATAAAAAAAAAAAAACTATAGCTCTCTCACACCAATCTGACATGCATGTGTGTTTTGAAAACCTCCGTAAGCTGCCTTGATGGGCAGCAGGAGCCCTCCAGGCAGAAGGCTGCCAGTGCTGTCATCCTAAGTGGGATGAGAGTTCTTAGGGTCAAATCCCCACTGTCGAGGTATTAGAAAAGACTCTATGATGTGAAGGATGAAATCAGCAAAAGTGGACGTGTGTGTGTGCTATCCATACAGGAAGCACTAAATAGACAGTTCCAGCATGGTTCTCTTTATTCCTTTTGAGAAAATTCAAATTTAGTGCAACCAATACATGTGCATGTGTACATATATCACATAGAAATGCATAAACATTACGATTGCTGACAGCACAGAGACAGACATACACAGTCATGCATGGTTTTTGTTTTGTTTTGTTTGTTTTTGAGCACCAGGGATCAAACTCAGGACCTTGTGCTTGCAATGCAGGAGACGGCACCACTGAGCTATATCCACAGGCATGCATTCTTAAGGGAAAGGGGTACAAGATCCCAATGATGAATGCAACTGTACTGTATACCTAAAATATAACAATAAACTCAGTGAGAAAAAAAAAAGTGGAAGGATGGAAAGAAGGAAGAGAGAGAGATATGGGGGGAGGGAGAAAATAAAGAAGAAGGCAATAATTATTTTATCAGTAATCATCTAACAGAAGATGGAGCAGAATCAGCATCTACTCTCAACTCTCCCAGGTTTTGTTGCGGGGGATGGGGGTGTTTCTTTTGCTACCGGGGATCAAACTCGGGTCCTTGCGCTTGCGAAGCAAAAAGAAACCACTAAGCTAAATCCCCAGCCCCCATCTCTTCCAGTTTTAAAGGGTTATTTGTTAACGTTGGAGTTTATTTTTTAAAGAAAATCAAAAGTCGTGATAAAAGCTTCCTCCCAAAATCTTTTTCTGTCAATAGAGTTTACAATTTTTAAAAATTCAATATTTGTTGGGACTTTTTCTTTTAGAGAGAGGAAATCTCTCTGAAGAGAACAGCAGCGTGTTTAACAAAACATCAGGCCAAAGAAGAAGAGTTGAATTAGTGGAAAGGACACTAGAGCAGGAGTCAGTTGAAACGGATTCCAGTCCTGTCTTTTATACTATATTAAATGCAACTGAAACTGAATGCAAATTACTTCTCTGTCTCAGTTTTCTCATTTATAATTTGGAGTCTTCACTTAAACACATTGACCATCCAGCCATTCTTATCTACATTCCCTCCTAAAAGGCTGTCTAATATATTAAAGGAAAAAATAGTTAAACTCTAACATAAGAATTCATGGAGAATACAGTTCATCAAGTTTACCAGAGATGGAAGGTTAACAGGGTGCAAGAAGTCATGGGTATTAGTAACAAAGAAAGAAATACAGCCACATGTCTTATTGAACCATGGAGAGACTTGAGATTCTGGAACATCAGTTATAATAAAGGATCAGAGATAGCCACAGATTGGTTCTCCACTGGGAAAAATGTTGCTACACTTTCAAGGAATGTTTGTTGATGTATGGAAAATCTTTGGTTGTCCCAACCAGGGAGTGGTTTGAAGCCAGGGTTGCTGCAAACATCTTACAGTGCACAGGATTGCTCCTCCTAGGGAAGAATTATGTAGCTCAAAATGTCAACATTGTTAAAGCAGAGGAAGCCAACTCTGGTGATCTCCCACTTTCAAGCTCTCCTTCTTTATGTGAAAGCTGTTAGATACCCATCTGCCCCACTGTTCTGAGCTGAATTTGTCTTCTCAAAATTCATATGCTGAAAACCTAAGCCTGACACCTTAGCATGTGAGTATATTCTGATACAGCGCCTTTAAGGAGGCTATTAAGTTAAAATGGGACCCTTGGTGTTGGCCTTAATCTAATCTGACCTAGGTCCTTATAAGAAGAGATGAAGACAAAATAAAAATAAAGAGAAAAATAAAAGATAAATGATAGGAAATAGGGAGATAGATCTT